AAGAAGGAAATGAAGGGTGTGAACATTTAGAAATAGGTCGGTAAACTAGTTGCCTCAGAAACATTTTGATCCTCAGATTCAAGGCCTGAAGCATCCATGACTAGCTAACGAGATAGCTAAGCTGCTTAGGGTTCAAAGAGCCCTTCACATCATACATCACCATTAAAACTGTAACCTAAACAAGTGCACATGTTACAGAGTTGAGTTAGCAGGAAAAAAAATGAATAATCCTTTCACCATGGCAAAAGTTGAGGGGTCATAGAAATAATTTCCTCCCTGCTATTATTGTCCTACATCCATGAGTATGATCAAGACCTGCTAATTCCAGGTTTTAAGATTAACATGAGTGGAAAGACTCTGAACATCTCTACTTTATATGGCTATAACAATTACAGCATATTTCCATTCAAAATTACATTTCACCATGCATTGCCATTTATTTTTTTGTTCAGGACACTAACATCTAAGTCTAGAGAACACAGGATGCCTGCCTGTCACAGCCAGCTTTCATCACACAGGAGAGGAAGCCATCAGCAAGCAAGGAAATGGTTGCTTTCAGAAAAGATAATTCTTTGGGACTTTACTGTAACCACTTCTTGAAGAAGGAGAGCTAGTAGACAAGTTGAAAGTATTTGTTTTCTAAGCAGTTAAGAAGAAAAATATTGGTCAAAAGCAAAACCAGCACAGTCCTTATTTTGGTCACATGAAATGCCCATGTGATTTCAGCCTTTTATACCCTGCCCAGCTATGAGGTCTGCAACTTCTGCTCTTTCTGCAGGTACATCTTCCAAATGCATATGTGTCAGGAATTATAAACCTTGGGGTCTGATTCACTAGAGTTGGAATCTGGCTCCTTGAAGTGCAGGTCAATTCAGCTTCCTAAAGAAATGTTGGGTGATATTTCTACAGAGTAACTAGTTGGAAGTTTTTAAACCTGCCTACAGTTATCTCAAATTCAGCCAAAATAGTTTCACCTTCCAGCTTATGATACTATGCACAAAATTCCATGGACAAGAAATGCCAAAGGAACAAAAATGTTTTAATTAAATA